CAATCCTTCCATCCTGTGTACCATCTCGACCTTGAAAGGGCCCCCATCGTCCTTTTCGGGTTGCTGACTGGCGCGTTGACTTGAGGCAGGAAGCAGGTTGGATGGAGTGTTTGGTATCGGCACGGGCGAGTTCATCATGGAATGCAGCTCAGACTCGTTGAGAGGCTGCGATGGTCTTGCAATGTGCTGCAGGGACCCCTGAGGGCCATCCGCGGGCTTGGGAACAGCCCTTGTGGGAATCGCTGCCGGGGTGGAGGGGTGAGAGTTGGTATGGCTGCCTACGGACGGCCTTCGTACATCGGTTGTGCTATTGGGCGGCTGCGAGGACGAACTCCGACCATTTGTGGTGTGAAACTTGGCTAGCAATTCATGCCGGGTGGATGATGAAGTGCCATGGCCGCGGCTATGACCGTGGCTGTGACCGTGTCCGTTGGCTTCATGGTGTTGACGCGCATTGACAGCGACAAAACCACCACCGCCGCCAGGAGATGTCTGAGGAGCCTGCGTGTGCGCTTGGCCATGCGCCTGGCCGTACCCTGAGCTCGGGGCGCTCGAGCTGCCGCCGTTCATAAGGGCGACATTCGAGGGGCTCGTGGGCCGAGGAATGGTAGGCGCTGGGCTCGCGGTCGCTCGTCGATCGAGGATAGCCTGCTTGCGGCCCTTCAGTCTGTGGTTGAGCTGTCGCGTGCGGGCAGCGACTGCGCGATGTTAGCCAGTGTCGATGTTGGTTAGTGATGGTCGGTCAGACTCACCCTGATCGGCAAGTGAACATATCTGGCTCAGGTTCTTCTCCAGTATCTCCATTGTACCCAGCTCCTTCTCTTCGTCTTCGATGATGGGCTGGGGTGGGATCATCTTCTGTGGGATGCCAGATGATATCAAGACGAAATCCTCCTCTGAGATCTGGACCCGGCACTGCTTCGTGTAGAACTGGCAGACGCGCACGCCTTCGCTCATTTGATCCAGCTGGAACTGCTCGGGCTTGTTGCGCGCAAACTCGACCACGTCCAGCCAAGTCACAGTGGTCCCATCCTTTCCGTGACTCTTTAGCACGCGCGGTGGTCCGTCGAACAGCCGCTCGAATCGCTTGATCAGGATGGGTCCTAGTGGTCTTGCGCCCAGGTTGCAGGCCATGCTCTCATGGCGATCGAGCACGCCCTGGTAGTCACTGAGGACTGACAAGATGTTGGGTAAGGTGTCATCGTTCGTTATCAGGGGCAGGTCCTTCTCGAGGTGTCGGGCGAGGTAGTTGATCTGGAGGTGGTTGTGGGTCTTAGCGGCTTTGGGGACAGGCGCGGCCGCAGCCAGGTGCATCTCATGCGAAGGACTGCGTTTGCGCTTGAGGTCGGCGGGCAGCGGCGGCGCATGGTGTTGCGGTGGATGCGACGACATGGTGCGCTCAGCCGCAGCGTGAGAGTCGGCGGTGGCCATACCTTGGCTTGGGTGGGAGGGATACCAGGTTGATGAGTGCTGCGAGGGCGGAGTGGACGGATGGCAGAGATTCGAGGGTGGAGCGGAGGACGCTAGGCGAGGGACAGCTCACAGCTCAGCTCAGCACACTGCAGGCGCTCGCGTCTAGTCGCGAAGGCCCGAATTACAGGACAAGATACATCACGCAGAGAGAATCGCAGCGAGAGATGCGAGGGCGCGGGTGGAAAGCCAAACGGCTGCTCGGTGGCTGAAGTGCTCCGAACGGAAGGCAGAGGGGCGGACAAGGGAAGGCACGCAGCGCACCGGAAATAAGAAAGAGCTTTGCAGCGTACGCCTCCCACCCAATCAATACGCGTCTGCAGCTAGCAGCGGCCCCGGCGCCGACCTGCAATGAATGCGCATCGCTGATGATTCAGATTCTGCCGACCCGACCACGACAGCCACTGAGCGCCCTGCCACGGGCGGACACTCACGACAGCCTATTTGCAGACGCCCGCAAGCCTGTGGCAGAAGTGTGTGAGGTGCCGTCTGAAGAAGAGGCCGGCACCGAGCACCCCGGGCTGGCGTCGTCGTCGTCTGGAGGGATGACGAAAAATGCCGCAGGCCCACGCGTCCTGGGTGAATCTAGCTGCTACGATGCAAGCGCCACAGCACGGCGGAGGTCTGGAAGCATGGCGGAAATCATGTTTCCACCCCTGCGTCGCCTGACACCAAAGCCACGCACGTGACCGGAATGTGGGGTGGGAGGAGCCTTTCCCGGAGCGGCACAGACCACCACTTCTTACTGGGCGCGGCGGCTGCACGTCACCACAAGCTTCAACATCCAAAACGCGTCTCTCCCTCTCCACGCTACTATTATGTCTGAGCGAGGCGCATTCCGGGGTCGAGGCGGAGGTCGGGGCGGCGACCGCGGGGGACGCGGTGGCGGTCGTGGCGGTGCACAAGCGGGCGGTGCGGGCGGACAGACTGAGCGCCCGAAGAAAGAGAACATTCTTGACCTGAGCAAGTACATGGACAAGCAGATCACCGTCAAATTCAGTGGCGGACGTGAAGGTACGCAGAGCAGGACAGTTGGGAAGGAGCGTTGGAGCTAACCTCTTGCAGTCATTGGCACGCTCAAGGGCTACGACCAGCTCATGAACCTTGTCCTGGATGAGGTCAAAGAGGCCTTGACTGGTATTTATTAGCGCACTACCCTCACATTGGCCTATCTGACAGTGTCTAGACGAGGACGGCAACATCCGGTATCGCAAGCTTGGCCTTATTGTCGCGCGCGGCACTCTTCTCGTCGTCATCTCGCCCGTTGACGGAAGCGAGGAAATCCCGAACCCGTTCATACAAGAGGAAGAATGAGCAAGAGATGAGCAATAGGAATTCTTCAGACCTGGGGCGAATTGCTCTAGGCAGAGCAGCGGCGAGGATCTGGGCCCGGGGAAGTTGGACGGGCAGTGATACCCAGTACGATACCCACGAGGCAGATGCAAAACCCTCTTACGACACACAAGTGATGTCCACAATATTACGGCTTTTCAGAGCTACCATGCTCTTGAAACCAACGGCCAAGCAATACACAAAAGTTATGAAGTCTGGTCAAAATCATCACTTGGATGTCTGAGTTCAGTTGTGTGAGACACAAAATCGTACGGTCACATCGTGACACAATGGATAGGCTTACTGCAGAAGCCTTACTGACTTTGGCGTACTTGCGGCTGACCCTGCCAGACAGATCATGTCAGTGGTCGCGACAGGCATTGACTGCATCGCTTCTATCACCAACAGCTACCGTGTTCTTGTCGCAAACACCACAATCTCTGATTATTTACGCGATTTTTTCAACTGCCGCCAAGAGTTTGTTTTATATTCGTCAACGTCATGGTGCTACACGTGTGTTGGTCGATCCTAACGTCGGAATGTTCGGAATGCTGTTCCGACACTGCTCCTTTCACTCAACACAACCCCTCACCACGCTCGACCTTTACTCATCGCCGATCACCAAGCAGAGTCTGATCGAATCGCAGGACACCGGACCAAATTGCCGACGTCAGGTACCCGCTCTTCTCAGCAGAGCCCATTACCACAGATGGCTGAACTAGCGCAAGTCTGCATGACGTCGAGTTGATGTCAAAGGTGGTGACGCTATCATATGGGATTATAGAAAGCCCATGGTGAAAGTTTACTTCACATAGCACACGACACCCCTCTTCCTACTCAACAACCCTCACATATACCCATCCACTACATTACATTTCAAAGCTCGCGATTTATATCAAATACACATTGCAACCATGAGCCAGAACCAGAACCCCGACGCTGTCAGCGACGGTCGCCAGTTTGCTGGACACGTCGCGCCCAGTGAGCCCCTCATGAAAGGTGGTGTAAGTACATGCAGACCTTTCTCAATTTCGTCACAGATTCTTGCTTGATCATCTCCTGAACTCATTGGAGCCCCCGTCAACACTACCAAGCTCCAAAACACACCATCGTCGAACCCAACTAACAAACCCCAGCACCAACCCGGAAAGCTCGTCGGCAACGACGCCGTCCCCGAGTTCAACGCACAAACCCTCCCCGCCGGCACCGCACCAGCATCCAAGACCTTCCAGCCCAACCCCGACCTAAACAACCAGAAGATGTACCACCAAGCCTCCGACACCCTCCAAGGCGCCACTTCAGGTGACGTCCACACTGGTCTCGGCCAGCCCGTCCAAGGCCAAACATCGCAAGAACTCCACGATGGTTCCAGCAAGGGCCAGGGCCTGGCCGGCCTGGCTAGCGGCGTCAAGGACCAGACAACTGGTGGTGATATCAGGGAACTGAAGGATGATCCTGCACATGCTGCTCAGAGGAATCTTGATGATGTACCTACTGGTCAGAGGGGTAACGTTGGTGGCCCTCCCGCTGAGGAGAGGGAGCCTTCTTCTGCTTAGGTACATTTCTTCACGAAGGATGATTGTATGAACGTATCGCTTTTAGCAAGGCTGTATCGATCAGTCTTTGATAAAGGATAAAAGTTGCCTTGGATGCTACAGTAGCCCAAGGCTAGATAGAAGTAATGAAATAACCGACCAACTAGATGACCGTCAACTCCCCTTATGATGTGATCGAGGGTTTGTTGTATTTGCCAAGTACAGGTTTCATATCCCATGGGGGAATGCAGTCGGTCCGGTCAACACAGTACCACACAACTCGGGAGTCCTTTCGAAAAACTCTTGAAACAGTTCAAGCATAGCAGTTTCACTGCCTGAATATGGTTACCCGACCAATCCATCGAACAAAGTCATCGATGAACATACCTTGTGGGCCAACTACGCCAATGGCACCTGGAAGGTACTCTACATTGCCAGTGACTATCGATTTATACGGATACTGGCCATCTGCAACATGTGAGTAAAGTCTCCGAGAACGCTTTCATAGATCGAGGCTCACAGGGGATGGTGAAGAAGGGCAAGCCCGCAAGAATAGGAATGTGGCTTGGCTTGTAACCAAAACCTTGCTTCTTGTTTGCACCTTCTTCAAGTGATCTCCTGAGCGGGGTCAACTTTGTTTAGCCTCCTCCGTCACCTACTCGCTTACTTATGATATCCATGTCGGTACATAGGTTCCGTATCTCCACTTAGGAGGATGAGTATCTTGTCCAAACTTTTTCCATCAGATGGCGGCGGTAGTATCGTAGTGCGCATCCAGTCTCTAAAGGTGTTTCGCTCCTTAACAGCTTGCTCATATTGTTCTACCGTGAGGTCCTTGCCAAGAGACCTGCCCGAACGATTAGCTCAAGTTTACCTCATCTCTAACATAACGACATACCATTTGTACTTGATATAAGGGTCGGCGAATGCCTTCTTATGGAACTCCTTCTCGTAGTCTCGCACGAATGTCTGGCAATTCTGGTAGCAGTCATATAGCTGAATATGCGCCATAGTCTGCTATGAACATCAGCAAATGTTCGAGAAGATAGGAGCGGAGGCGCTTACGGTATCTAGATAATTCTTCAGTGAAGTCCCACCAGCGATGCTTTGCCGCCTGAACAGGCCATCTATATCGAGTCTCTTTCGCTTGACCTGCAGGAAGTCTTCCAAGTGACGTATGAAACGCCCTGTGTGGGATAGATACTTGTTTTGGCATCCAGAGAAGATATCAGTAGGGTACAATAGCTCAATCTTGGCTGCGCGCGTTTTCTTGGTAGTATCGCGAGCGCTCAACGTTCGAGATATCGTGGTAGCCATCTGGATGCTGCGTGTAAAGAAGCCGACAGTGTCGAGTTTTCTGGTCGTCTGTCAGTTCCATGCACAGGTGGAACTAATGCTTCATGCTTACTTTGACACTGGTACCATCCCCTCCGTCGATATGCCACCTAAGGATAGGCGAAGTCCAAATAAGCCGTGATCGGCTGCCGGACCTACTACACTTCCAAAGGCTATGGACTCGTTAATCCTACCGGAGTTTCGAAGAATGAATGAGCTTACTGTCAGTCCCCAACGTGGCATCTATCCAGTCATACGCTGACACAGCTGTGGCACTTCCAGTACTACTGCCACTAGGTTCTTGATAACCATCGCCCCTAGGGTTGAACGGTGCAGAGTAGTCAATCCAATCTCGGGCATTTTCTCCAGAGGCAAATTGCACTGTCTTCGTTTTACCCACTATGACTGCTCCTGCCTCCAAAAGCTTTGTAATACATGCAGCATTGCGTTCTTTCTCGGGACACAAAGTCTGGTAGGCCCGGCTGCCAGCGCTTGTCCGCACGCCTTTCAGATCGATGTTGTCTTTGATAGCTATTCTCATGCCAGATAGAGGTTTGGTGTCGGAAGGCTTGTCGTAATAGCAACGACTGGGGACTGGAATCGCAGTTGTTCCTGGGGTGGTGTGTCTAGAGACGCAGTTTCAGCCCAGTTTAGTGTAGAAGTAGTCGTATGTTGCTGGTCTAAGAAAATGCATACGTGTTTTCTCTATGCTCATCAGGCACTACTGGAAACTGAAAAGCTTCGTTCGTGTCGTCGAACAGACGCCATGCCTGACGAATGCCAGCGTCGGAGGCCAAATATGGCCCACTGCGGAAGCTAATCAAGTCTCTATTTGAGTTCACTACCACGGTGTGAACGCTTTGATTCTTCCACTCTTTCGGTATGATGATGGTCGAACTGTCCAGGTAAGATTTCGTGTTTGTGGAAACCAAGAAGTAGATATGTTTCAGGAAATGCTTGTTAAACACATCGTCTGTTTTGAGCCAGGACTCACTGGTGGTGAATAGTTTGTGTTCTGAAGCATCCATCACGTTCTCAAGAACAAATAACGTGATTGGAACAAGTCCGTCGTTGAAATCAGGCGCGCAGCCAAAGACACAGTTGCGGGACCGTGGGGGTATTGACGTCAAGCGAAACGGGATGTAGTACGAATTCGCTCCGACGCGAGTAAGCGTCGCAGTAAGAACGGCGGACATAGTGACGATTGTTAGCTCGCAAGCGAGTGAAGAGTATGCAGAGGTGTATCTAAGAAGTCGTCCAGGCATCAGGAGAAGTCTAAGGAAGGTGTGAGTCTTTTGTTTGTACGACATCCGCTGTTGGTCAATGCCTCTCGGGGATCGCACGTTCACCTGCCTGTGTGAAGAAACACGAAGACTTGTTTGACCTTGCAAACGAACAGATGCTCGAGTAAATTGTGCGGTAAGCGTATTACTATAATGCTACATAAACATTAAATTATCTCCTGCTGCCCTGAGGACCAGACAGAATGCACCCATCAGCACACTCAGGATCCGTGCTGTTGTACGCAATCTGTCCTACACTGCCACCAGGCTCGATGCTAGGGTCACGCGGGCTCTGGAACATACGTCCAGTCTCTGGTGAAAGAAGCGTCTCGATGATATCGCCGAAGGGGTTGCGGATATGGGCAATGGGCTGGCCCTTGGTAACAGGCTCATCGACCTGTACGAGCCTCTCAACGAAGCCTCCGTACTGTGACCATGTGTCGTGGAAAGTGGTGATCATGTATGTGTTGCTGAGATCGGGCTCCACGGTCTCGTTTGTGCCCGTCATCTTGAGGTCGACCATGACGCGGTTCACGTAGTCGACTACGCGGTCGATAAGGCTGTTGTTCCAGACCTTTGCTTGTCCCATCTCTACCGTGAGCGAGGGAATGCCGTAATCGACGAAAGTTGTCTCGATGGAGCCTGGCTCACCAGGATCGATCTTGAGGGTATCGGGTTGGAGGAGTTTGGCGAGGCGCTCGACGTAGGGAAGGCGGAAGTCGGAGTAGCACCATAGGGAGGTTTCTCCGCCGGAACTGGGGGTGTCTAAACCATGTTAGCTGAGATTTGGTAAGTGTTGGACGTAGTGAGCTTACGCAGGTCGATACCAACGTCAACATTTGACGTGTTGGCCCAGATCTGGTTCCAGATGTTGTACGCCAAGATATCAGGGCCACTGCCTCCTTCCATAGCGGAGACACCTGGGAAGATGCGGTTGACGTTTGTGAGAGAACCACTGGCACCAGACGTGAAGTAGTTTCGCTGGTTGAGGTAGATTCCCATGGGGTTGACCGTCGGAATACCAATGACTGCGTAACGTTAGCAATGATCTCCGTGAAGATTCATGGTACATACCTGTGCCATTGAGCGTCGCGACTTGGTCTTGGAGCTGCTCAAACATGCGCTGAACCACGCGAACCGGGTTCAACTCATCGCCGTGGATGGAGGCTGAAAGCGACAGCTTCTTTCCCGTATGCAGACTCTCCGGGGTTCCGCGCGCAACCATGATGGGGATATGCACGGGATGTCCGCCATTGAGCTCGCCAGCTCGCATGTAGTACTTGGACACGGTTTGGGGAGGCACATCAGCGAGGTCGAGACCGCTGATGACCGGGACGCCGTTCACGACATCGCCCGTGAAGTTTACAGCAGAAACGCTGCTGGCGAGGACTGCCGTGGCTGCGGCTACGCGAGAGATGAGCTGCATGGTCGCGTTAGTTGGCTGAGGCTACGCAGGTACAATTGACATGTCCGACTCACCAGCTCTACTTTATAGTGCTGACTTCTCGCGATAAGAGACCAGCCATCGCAGTTCCATGGTCCATACTAGCTCCGCTCTTTGCGCAAAGAGGAAGGTCCACATGGGTTTTGTCCACTCGAGTGACGATGCCCAGAGGCGACTGCATGCCAATGCTCGGCGCGCCTGTCAGGCCGAACCCAAGTTCGCGGATTGCGGTGTAATCTATGTGGCTTGAGGCCGGTGCCTGGCGATCATCTCGTTGTCGGGTACATGCGGATAGTCACAAGTTGAGTATACGATGGCTCTCAATGCAAAGTTGTGTTCGTGGACTTTGAGCTGATGTTGTGCAATCCGTAGCTCGCGCGAGTCATGTAGCGCCGGTATCGATAAGCTCACTGTCAGCACTGGACATCACGGTGACCGACAGACCTCCAAGCTTTTCACCAATTTCGGCGTATCGGAAATATTCATCTTATAACTAGCAAACCTCGTCTACGTATGGCCGTCGCGGTCGTTAGCTACGCGATGCCATCGTCACCCCCGCCATCACGCTTGCGATAGCTCATCCCATTGCTCCTGTCTTGCCCTGAAGTCTTCTATCTCTTGGGCTGAAAAGCCACAGCGTTCAAGCTCTTCTTCTATCCTGGGCTCTCGTGGCTTCTTTGAGCAGAAAGAGAACAGGGAGGATACAGACGAGATCGCGCGATGCACAATGTTGCGCTTCAACTTCGGGCGTGGAGGGAGGTCTTCCGGGAATGGGGTGAAATAGTACGACGGATTGATGTTGTTTGCCATGTCTAGTGGAGTAAGTTGAAGCGTACACTGAGAAAGACTGTCAATGATGAAGCGATTCGAGCCGTATTGAGAGTGCTGTTGCCTCTAGAAGTAGCGAGGCGCTCGCGATGGCGGCTGAAAGTTCCATCAACAATTCACTACTTCTTTCCTTTACTCTTCACAGGTTCACGCTGGACTTGCTGCCTAGTGCCAGGTGAGTCAGCACGTGAACTCACAGGGCTAGCCTCTCTTCTCTGCATATATAAATCCCGTACTTCCCCTTCTTCTCCTCACTACAACTCTTGGAGTTCCTCTAACACCCGCGTTCAATCGCACAAGAGGGATCTCGTTCTTTTCAGGCCTCCTGCCTCCCATCTATGCGCCACTCGATGCGCCTCCTCCGTCCAGTAAGTCGACATCGTCGCTACTGAGGTCCCGTTGAATTTTGCTCCTTCAAACGTGTGCTGCAAACAAATGCGGGCAATGCGACCGAAAGGTCGACGCACGTTAGCTAGAGCTACATGTGCTGCGACTTGCAGGCAATGCGAACTGAGAAGTTCGACGCATGTAGCTCGAAGCAAAGACATGTGCTGCAGGCAACTGCAAGCAATGCGAACTGAAAAGTTCGACGCATATAGGTCTATATGAGACATGTGCCACATGCAAATGTGGGCAATGCGGACCAAAAGGTTCGACGCATGTCGATGGTATGTGCTACAGGCAACTGTAGGCAAAGCGGATCGTGAGATTCGACGCATACTGTAAAACCAGACATGTGCTGCAAAAGACTGCAGGCAAAGCGAGCCGTGAGGTTCGACGCATGTCTGCGACATGTCCTACGGGCAACTGTAGGCAAAGCGGATCGTGAGACCCGACGCATGTCATAGAAAATACCGTGTGCCGCAGCGGAACTGTGGGCAAAGCGAATCGAAAAGGTTCGACGCACGGAGGGAGCCGTGGGTCACAGGTGTTACTTGCGGTAAAGATGGACATGCTTCATCGCACGGCGAGGGATATGCAGCATGCGAGAGCTGGCTGCGAGCGATTTGCTCATAAGGTAGGCGAAAGCCGATACCATTCTTTTTCTTCATACTGCACATGTCCGTGTCGATCCGCAGTCTCTGAAGACATCTTTTTCGTTGAGTCTTGGCTCTTGTAGCCAGTCTTGAAGAAGAGGACAGATGGAGTATGGAGGTAAGACAGGAGGTGTACAGTAGTTCAAGGTATTTCATGTTGTGCCGTGCAACCTCAGCCGTTGAGACTTGCCATCGCATAGTTTATCCACCGATGAACTCTTCCCTTTTTGCTTCTATCCTGGCCTTCTTTCAACTCTTCCTCGTGCTTAATATCATCCTTCTTCTTTTCGGCTTTGCACTGTTCCTCCAGCTTCACTTGCTTTTCCACTGTCAAAAGTCAGCGTGAAACTCTGTGTCCCGGTCGGAAGGAGTGATCTACACTCTGCTTTGCTGTAAACGTTGGCTCCAACTCCTGCACTATCCATGACGATGACTCTAGCAAGATGCGTTGACAACCGTAGAAAGGTAACGTGTGGCTGGACAAAGACTTTAGGTCAGCGAAGACGTGCTGTCGTGGATGCGGTGTAGCTTTAACTATATGCAGTGGTGATTGAAGGATTCGCTTCCATGCAGGCGGCGAGGCTGAGCACTGCCTGCACCGTAAGACATGTCACGAACTAGCCGTAATCAGCAACGACAATGCGGAGACACATGGGCCGTTACATAAGCAGTGACGAAAGCCAGCATAATGAATCGATGCTTCATAGTCACATTATGATTGGTACTCCTATGCTAGACAATAACCCTGGACTTTATTGCCCGTATGATTCTCATCATCCTCTTCCTCGCAAGCCATCGCACGAAATGACTATAACATGTCTTCTACTGCATGAACTTCTCAACATCGGAGAAAGTTAAGTGCCCATTCGAAACCTATTTCTTGGAGGCGACTTTGGCGAGGTCGGCAAGGGCCTCGCGGCGCTTGAACTTGGCATCCTGGATAACGCCTGCGTGTGTCAGTATCATTCGAGTGTAGAGAGAATGAGCTCCACTCACTGGCATCGGCATCGCTACTGAAGTTGCCAGACCATGTGATGAAGGTCTTGCCCTCGTGTGCGCCGGAGGTGACGGGGTATACGCGGATGGTGGACACGACGGAGGAGTAAGAGAGCTCGGGCTTGGAAGTGATGACGGAGTATGTGATGAAGTGGTCGATGGACTGCATTTACGAGTCAGTGGCTGCTGGTGTTGTTTGCACCAATGCACCACTTACCGAGTGCTCCTCCTGCTTGACCTCAAGCTCGGCGCCGTCCTTGAAGGTCCACTTGACGATGTCGGTCTCCTCTGAAGTGCCCTTGACGAACTCGCTCTTGTCGAGCTTGGACCAGAACTTGCTGAAGTCCTGGAGCTTGATCAGGTGCCAGACATCGCTGAAAGACGCGTCGATGACGGCTGACTCGCTGACCGAGGTGGAGGTGGGGATGGATCCAGACATGTTGACTTGGGTGGTACAATTGGGGTCTTCTTAATTGGTTATGAAGTTTACGGGTGATGCAATGAAGATTGGTCGTCAGGGTCGTGGGCAGAAGAAGAAGTTTGGTGGGGCGCGCAGTTTGTTGCAGACTAATGGCGTCATAGCAACCTGCACTTCGGAAAGCTGCAGCTACCCCTCCTCCGCATCGCGACTGCTCGACATCGCCACTAGGCGCCCCCATCCTCATGTATCGTGACATCTGGGTGCATTCTTCGTCTTCAGTACCCTGGTTTAAGAGATACACAGGACAGTAGCCCTTCGCTTGGCCCCCTACCACACATCCGACAAACGTATGTCTACCTACCTGGGTAAGAAATACGAGACCTTGGGCGGCTTCAATCCTGTAGACCACGCAAAGTATCTCTCTCAGATCGCGCTGGATACTGCAATATAGTACAATACTTGTCGACGTTTCGTGGTTTCACGCTTTGTATACGGTGGTCTTGTCACCACTCGCGACACTCGCTACAACCTTGAGCCTCCCGCTCATGTCCATTCGAAATCTTTCCAACACCTTCTCTTTTTGCTTTTGCATGCGGGCAGGTGATACCTCCGTCGGCGTCCATGTCCTATCCCATAAGCCCAGCGTACACCACCGTGCAATACCTGTGGCCAATCACAGTCCTACCGCCACAGCCACCGCCACATCGGAGGAAATCAAGCCCCGACCTGCCAGCCGTCTGAACGCGCAACGCCCGTTTGCCTACTCACCACGCGGCCAGGCGACACTCTAGGCACGCGGCCTGGAAGCCTATCGTCGATGGCCCTTCTGGTTATTTCTTTATCCTTCTTTCGACTTCCCAAAATCATGGGTGATTGGTCTCTGCATGCAAATGGCGCGATTGGTAACCCGAAAGGCTGCCCATATGGGTGGCAAGTAAGTCAGAGGAGGGGTGCACATACGTACGTTCGCACGTGCGACCTGATGCCTGGAGCCGTTTGCTTTGTATAAGACGCCCAAAAAGGTAGGCTACGATATTCAATCCAAACACCGCACTTCCTTTTACTTTACGATACAAGTCATCATCATGCCATCAGTCACATACATGAACAACTCAGCTCCCTTTTGGGACTTCATCGCCGGTCTCGAACAACAAGGCTCCCAACACCCATTCTTCGCACAGAACCGTAACGACGACGGCGAGAACAATCGCGAGATGCCACCCCAAGATGCCCAGGATCCCTTTGCACCGTTCAGATGGGGTCACTTCTTTGGTGGCGAAAGGGGAATGCCTCACCGTGGTGGGCCTCCTCATGGTCGCCCCGAACGTCGTCATGAGGGAGCTACCGGAGAGCCAAATCAGGAACGCAATGAACAGCCAGAAGCCGAAAAGGATGCTACGATGAACACTGAGTACGACAACGGTGAAGGCCCATCGGGCAACTCTGGGTCTGACAACGACGCTTACAACGGTGGCCGACCACATGGTCGCTGGGGTGGAGGGCGTCGAGGACGCTGTGGCCAAGGCGGCCCTGGAGGCTCTGGCCCACACCATCACTCCCATCCCTACGGCGGCTCACCTCGTCATGGACCACACCATCGCGGCCACCGCGGAGGCTGGGGGCCATGGTCACGCGGAGGACCCTTCGGAGGCATGGGCGGCGGACCTTTTGGTGCCGGTCATAATGCCTGGAACTCCTTCGACCCCTCCACTCTTGCCGCCCAGCTGTTCAACCAGTTCACTGACAGCCATCCCTCCAACACGACCAACACTGCCAAGCCCACCGAGGCCGACGACTACACACCCGACGCCGACATCTTTGACACCGAGTCTGCCTATGTCGTTCACGTCTCGCTCCCTGGCGCTAAGAAGGAAGATGTTGGCGTAAACTGGGATGCTGAGAAGAGCGAGCTTAGCATCGCTGGTGTGATATACCGCCCTGGCGATGAAGAGTTCTTGAAGACACTGGCCCTGGACGAGCGTAAGGTGGGGGCTTTCGAGAGGAAGATTCGCCTTGGGACGAGGGCAAACCCGGCCAGCGTTGATGCTGATGGCATCACGGCGAAGCTGGAGGATGGTGTGCTCAGAGTCGAGGTACCAAAGCTAGACTCTGGGTACGTTGAGATCCGCAAGGTGGATATTGAGTAGGGCGGACGCTGTTAAGATTGCAAAGAGGCAGACAGCTGACCAGGCTATGATATGTCATGTGTAGTTTTCTCTCGGATGTTTGGATTGATTGTATTGCTGTATAATGAACTGTTTCTATTATGACGTTCCATAGGTGTTTGCTCGGTTTCTTGCCGTTCTTTCTCTTTCCACGTGCTTGAGCTAGGTCATGGCAAACCATGTAGCTGAGTGAAAGATGAAATGACTTCCCCCATTAGCCTCTTTCGGCTTCACCAGCCCGGTGAGCGCAACGTCAGTGAAAGGGTCAGTTCAAAACAAGCGCTCACCTCCGATAAATGGGCCCACTACTCAGGCCCAAGTTTGCATCACATCAAACGCGTCTCGTTACCTTTGACTCTCAACTCTGACCTACACCACACCAGAAAGTTCAATCATAGCCCTTCTCCAGAGCCATGACTCCTCCTGCCGAGCTCACTCCACCGATGGAAAACCCGCGCCGTTTCCCGACAGTCGAAGAAGACACTCCCACCGGTGAAGCCAGTCAGACACCAACGATCATGTCGGCCTCTGGCTCATCTGCGGCTACCGAAGGAGTCACCACCTCTTCTAATGCGTCCGCTGTCGAGCCACCACCTCATGACATTGCCGACGTCGTCCTCTCATCGCTATCAGAGCACACAAAGCCTCAGCCCATGGACTCCGCTATCAAGACCGCAGACGGCGAAAAGTCTCACCCCGGCTCTGCTAAACGCAACACTCATCTGCCTCCACCAGTTTGCATTCGATCTGGACACCTGCAATACTACACCTCTTTCCCACGTACATCGCCAGAGCAAGTCTCCTCCATCTTCCCAACTGAGCTTCCGCCGCGCCCTCCACGACAGCAATCGTTCTTGAAGCGGCTGCAAGGTTCATCTGCGCGACCTGCTCAGACTGACAAACAAGTGTCTCACGATCACACTTATCGGACGCCCGACATCGAGTTGGCTGCACCTGGTGAGACACTGCGCTCTCATGATGTGGGTCGGTCTCGAAGCCTGATGTTCTGGCTCTTGATTATGCTTGGTATCTGTTTGAGCAGTATTATTGGGATTGTCATCCACTGGGCTGTGACCCGCGAGGAGTAGACGGCTTGATGCAGAACGCGGCTGAGGGGGGTGTGGGAATGAAGCACTGCGGTTGGATAAGCGGAGATTATGGAGATCAATGGGACATCTTACGGACTTATGGCAAAGCATATCTAGAGTCTAGCATCGTATGAACATGGATGTCTTGCGAGCGCTCAGGTTTTGGGAGCTACTGGTGCCTTATGCGCAGCTGGCGACGTTGCGCGCAAGTATGCGCCTCACACAAGAAAGAAATTGAACACTCTGGAGCGTACAGTACTACACAAGCTCGCATGTCTTTCATTGTTATCCGTGTTCTAAACTCCTGACGCATATGTTGTAGTTGGACTAGCTGAAACGTCAATGATATCATCTTTGTATACATCCCATGTGCAATTTCCCCAGGCATGGCTGCGGAAAAAACGAGCTTGTCGTAGCCCAGCCTCCCCCAACCTCCCGTCCTCCAGGCATCCATGTCCAATTTCACAACACGACGTCTCTTTACTGATCGACCTTGCATGCATCTGTTGAGGCCAGACGTTCGCGCTATGCATGGGCGGCGCCCACCGCTTTGACTGACGCTCTATGTTGCTAAGGGAACAGCGGCCGTTGTCGCGATCTAATGCTAGGTATTCACAAAAGCAGGCTTCATTCCTATACGTCAAACATTTCATGCCTTAGCGAAGAGACGCATAAGGTTTGCGGAAGTTGTAAGTCGTACCTGACAGCTGCACAGCATCGACGACTCCGCAATTGTACCTTTCTGTCGGTGTCTCACATCTATCCGACCAACATGCACAGCACGTTTCTGAGGCGACAGTAGTGACACGGCGCTCGGAAGTTAACGTGGCTAGCAGCACCAACCACTTGATTCACAGCATGTGTTTTGCACGCACGCGAGGTTGTACATCACCGCCATCGTTAATCTCGTTTCGATCACAAGCTACTACGTTCACCCGCAGAAGACTCGCTGTCTACACAGGTTACACAGTGGCGGATGTAGGCGTTGAGGCGTTATGCATTCGTAATCCATGTAGACGCGCGGTTGTCTGGGTACCCTGTTGCTAATCTTGATGGAAGGACTAGGTATCTTGTCGCCACAGGGACTCCGCGGGATGATCATGATGCAGGAACGGATGGAAGCTATCCTAGAGCCGGGCGCTCGGTCAGCGAGCAGGGAGAAACATACTTTGCTAGTGTTGAGTATTCCCGAGGTTGGTCTGGAGCTACAACAATCTCTATCATGATGAGTTGTCCCTCCCAGAGTAACATCTTTGCTAGAGAAATTTACGGTACGCGGTATTTCAGAAGACCTTGCACCGAAAGCAATGTGTGAGCCTAGGCCATGTCGCAATTTTGCGAGCATCCTTTCAGGAACCAGCTTGTTTTGTACCTCCATTGATATGTGGGCAGTGGTCATTCCGCATGGTAGATCATGGAGACATGATGGCTGGGCCGTAGCTAATTCGCACAATCCGAATTGCCGGGTAATTTAATGAAGGACGTCATACAGCTTCTGCGAGCCATGTAGGTCGGAAGATTGATTCCATGTCGAGGATCAATTTGATTGAGATAGCCGACAAGATTAAACGACTCTGTGCAGACATGGGCCTTGTTTATCCGGCTTGATGGAGAAGCCTGCTCTCGAGACCTCCGCGGCACCCTAGGACGAACTCCGTGACCGGGTTTAACCACGGTTTACGGCATGCAGCCACAAGTGGGGGTTCGGTAGTCCGGGCGTCCCAGTTAGAGGCGGAAGGTCGACGCCAGATTTGTTCTTCGGTGCAAATATAGCTCTCTGAACATTGCGCATGCCTTGAAGATGATCGGACGTCGGTCCGCGGGCGATGTATACCAAGGTTCTAGTTGAGCCTCAGAGCACATGTAGTCGTCGCTTGCTACCCATAACGTAATAACACTACTGGCGAACAGACGTAGTTGGCAGACAGGAAATTTGTTTGAGCCAAGCTCGTCTCTGACCGACACTCGGTGAGCATTGCTGTAAGGCTGACTTCTCACCTGAGGAAATGCCACGAAGGATTGCGAGCTGAACGTCAGTCGCTGCACTATGCAGGTAAGCAGACGCACCTCATTCCTTCAATATTGTGGCGTTCTTTGCTGTCAGTGATCAAACCACCGACGCGGAAAGTACTGCACCAAATCTGACACTGGGCCGTAAGCCGTTCGCTTCTGTCAAAACCTTCGTGTTGGTACCGGCAACATGCAGATAGTGGACGATGCGCAGGGCTGGCAAGGATGACGTGGGAACGACTCTGTGGTATCTTCGCACCCATGGAGAATACTAGCTTGACCACTGCTGAGCAGTGATACTATGTTCCCGCGCAGATGCCCTCGATCTTGAAGAGTGCATGGGCGTTTGGTCTTCATCCGGCGATGTTGCCTTCCCTCGGACCACATATGGAAGGATGCATCCGCTTCAGCCGTGTATCCAGAGTGGCAACACTGAGACATCGCGATATCATTCGAGACATGAAGACATCGCCGACACTATGGCGCCTGTGGCTATCCAAGACTGCCGGTGCAGCTGTGGTGCATGTCAATAGTCTAATTGCGGTCCTGAACGTCATGAAAACGGTACGGCACGTTTTGAAGGAGGCGATTACAGCCGATTTGGGGCGCCTAACTAAGCGCAAAGTACACATCCCTCCAGGAAAACGTGTTCTCAGTGGCCAGTTTTGCGATGTGGTGATGTTGTGGTCGGTCCATGAGGTCCGGCCCCCCTCACGAACTCCGACACAGCATGGCAGGCTAGTCCGTGCACGGTCTAGCGTTAGCGGCAATTAGCTCAGATCGTCTCGACATGTTGGCTCGCTTGCGCTTCTGGGATCCTTCTTCCTCTCGCTTCACGACTATCAAGCTTTACAAGCACCGGAGACGGCTCTCAACCCCACGGTTAGCTCGGGCGATTGTTCTGCACACTACCCATAGCGGCATCCGCTCCCTGTGTCTACATGTCAATCGATGCCTCGCATGCCCCACTTTCTGCGCGACCCAAGGCACATCACCGCTTGCTGCTGCATCACAGCCTGCTGAGGCTGCCGCCGCCATGTACGACTCAGCACTTGCTGCAGCTCTACCAAGTATCCAGGCCGCTCTCTTAGTCCATCTGCCGCCGAGGCTCGGTAGGTCTAGCTGCATTCAGTCGTGTAACACGAGCTATGCCGACATTTGAGACGAAAGCGACCACTTAAAATTCTCCGTTCATCTACTTAGGGCTGAAATGTAGCCGTCTCTTATGCTCACAGCTCTGGGCAGGCCCTCATACTAAGCCCACGCCCTTACCGTTCATGGGCCGTAGACCGCGCTCATGGCGATCTTGGACGCTTCTTGCGGCAACAGTCTCTACATGGAGTGATCATACCATTGACTAGTGGTGGGAACTCTCCACTGCTGGCATCGGTAGTCTTTCGGCCGATCAATCGGTCCACTAGAGAGGCAGGGCAATGTTGCCATACTGGGGATATAATCTATCGTACCACCCTTTGTTAATCAAACCAGCCAGCCTTCGCTTTTCGTTTACAGCTTGATCTGCGCCTATCTGCACTCGTTGGTCCCGTGCGTAAAGGGTCTGGCAGCTGTCGTTTACATCTACGTTCTTTCATTCCTCCTTCCATACTCCACAATGGTTGTCTCAATCTTCAGATTGGCCACCGCCCTAGGGCTTTTCCTTCCGTCAGTGACTTCGTTCGCTGTGCCATCCGTCGAACACCTCACACCCAGGCTGCCTGAAGTCCCATGGAAGAAGAACGGTCTTTGGAGTGGGCGCGAAAGACGAGACGGCTACAAGACTAATTGTAACCATGGCCCACAGTCGAGAGGGTGCTGGAATGGCGACTTCAGCATCGACACAGATATGGACCTTCATTGGCCGAACACTGGAAAGACTGTCAAGTACCATTTGACCATCTCGAACGCCACTGGAGCCCCGGATGGGTTCGAGAGGCCAATCCTACTCATCAATGGTCAAACGCCAGGACCTGTAAGTGGGACACTTTGAGTCATCTCGTTTCCTTGCTAATATATTACAGACTATCTTAGCGGACTGGGGCGATGATCTTGAGATCACCGTAACTAATAACCTCCAAAGCAACGGTACTGGGCTGCACTGGCATGGTCTGAGGCAACTTGGTTCAAACGAGCAAGACGGAGTGAACGGTATCACCGAATGCCCAATCGCGCCTGGTGACTCCAAGGTCTACAAGTTCAAGGCCACGCAGTATGGCACAACCGTGAGTTGATTTCCGTTACGCATTACATGGGTGGAACCTGACTGACTGTTATAGTGGTATCATTCGCATTACTCTGTACAGTACGGCGATGGACTCGTGGGCCCCTTGGTCATCCGAGGACCAGCAACAGCGAACTACGACATTGACCTTGGTGCGCTTCCAATGACAGATTGGTTCCACGCGACCACTTTCACAGTGAACGCTGCAGCTGTCCACGCCAACGGTCCTCCAGTTGCGGACAATGTTCTCATCAACGGCACGATGACATCAGCCGCCGGTGGAAGTTACGCAGAGACAATCCTTACCCCAGGAAAGGCGCATTTGCTGCGCCTAGTCAACACCGGCATCAACAACTACCTCCATGTCGGTCTCGATGGACATAAGTTCAAGGTCATTTCTGCTGATTTCACACCCATTGAACCATTCGAGACCGACAACCTCGTTCTCTCGGTCGGTAAGTTGACCCGAATCATCTCATGTCTGCCCGTTCGTGGCGACGCTCACAACGTCTGTTCGTGCAACGCGCCCCCACCCACGAGAATGCGCCCACGATAACTATAGTTGGGGAACGTTTCACTGACATGGTCACCAGGTCAACGTTATGAGGTCATTATCAACGCAACCGAGCCTATTGGCAATTACTGGTGGCGAGTAGGTACTGGTGGTCGATGTGATGGTCCCAACGCGAATGCGGCAAACATCAGGAGCATTTTCCGATATGCTGGCGCTCCCGCTGGACAGCCCAACTCGACCGGCAATGTTCTACCGGTG